GCTAAAGTGACCAGCTCTGAAGTATGAACTTCCATGGACTGATTGATAAAGCTTGTTGTATACAAAATAGGTGCCAATTTCAATAACACTATTACATGGCTCTTGTGGAGTGGTCACCTGGTGGACTATGACCATCAGACAACACTGTGAGTTACCAATCATACGTATCATTATCTCTACTAGTTAAAAGAAGTCATGGCTTTGAATCTAGCTGTGGACATAGAGGACACAACCTTTAATGAGGACATTGAACAAATAAAACTAGTTCATGAATTTGCAAGTTAATTTTCTTCCCAAAAATCTGCCTTTGCAGTGGATCCTCCCTGCTTTCATACAGGGAAATACCATAAGTGAAGCTTGAAGAAATGCAGCCTAAAATAATCAATTATATGTTTCCTTATCGCTTTCTCTATGTTGTCCAGTAACCCTCTCCATTTTCTTAAACATCTCTACATTCCTCAGTTTTGCAGTCTTATTCTATAGGGGATTATAAAATCATATAGCTTGCAAAGGACCTCCAGAGCGCTGCAACTCAACCAGTATAACCTCCTGTCTCAAAGCAGAGCTGTGGTCCCTCTCAGCATAGTCACAGAAACCAGAGAACCAGCTGCCTTTAGCAGGAAAATCATCAGGATCCACCAGTTTACAAATGTACATGATTTTACTTTGCAGGAACAAGAGATTTTGCCTTGTTCTGAAATGCTGCCAGAAGTGGAAATATTAAAGTAATTCACATCATCCAATAGATATGCTATAAATTACAGCTGGAAAAAAAACAGTGATAGATCTTTATCTGCACTGATTCTCAACCAGAGGTCTGCAGACTGCTCGGAGTCCATAAGCCACTGCATAGGGGTTCCACAAAGATGACTGAGAAATATATCTCCAGCACAGTTGTTTAAATTCACTAAACATAGATCTCTCCCTAAGACAACTGTATATATATACATATATAGAATTATAGAATAGTTAGGGTTGGAAAGGACCTTAAGATCATCAAGTTCCAGCCCCCCTGCCATGGGCAGGGACACCTCACACTAAACCATGGCACCCAAGGCCTTGGCCAACCTGGCCTTGAACACTGCCAGGGATGGAGCATTCACAACCTCCCTGGGCAACCCATTCCAGTGCCTCACCACCCTCACAGGAAAGAATTTCCTCCTTATATCCAATCTAAACTTCCCCTGTTTAAGTTTGAACCCATTACCCCTTGTCCTATCACTACAGACCCTAATGAAGAGTCCCTCCCCAGCATCCCTATACGCCCCCTTCAGATACTGGAAGGCTGCTGTGAGGTCTCCACGCAGCCTTCTCTTCTCCAGGCTGAACAGCCCCAACTTCCTCAGCCTGTCTTCATACAGGAGGTGCTCCAGTCCCCTGATCATCCTCGTGGCCTCCTCTGGACTTGTTCCAACAGTTCCATGTCCTTTTTATGTTGAGGACACCAGAACTGCACACAATGCTCCAGGTGAGGTCTCACAAGAGCAGAGTAGAGGGGCAGGATCACCTCCTTCAACCTGCTGGTCACGCTCCTTTTGATGCAGCCCAGGATACAGTTGGCTTTCTGGGCTGCAAGCGCACACTGCTGGCCCATGTTCATTTTCTCATCAACCAACACCCCCAGGTCCTTCTCCGCAGGGCTGCTCTGAATATATATATATATCTGAATCCAGAATTCATGGCATACATGGGCCTCAAAGCTGTTTTAAGAAGGGGGAGAACAACCAAAAAACCCAACCCCAATGAAAAAAACCAAACAAATAAAACCAAACAGAAACAAAACAAAACCACAGCCAAAACAAGGAGAGAAAATGAGAGAGAAGGAAAACCATCTTCCCAGTGGCCAGCCAGGAACAGAAGCAACGGGGTCTTCCAGAAAACTCTTGTCTTCTGGGTGTTCTCTACAGTGGGCCAGGGAATCCACAGAGCAGTTTTCCAGTAGTAACAATGCAGTTTTTATCCAAACCCACTTAAACTCGTTACTGAGATGATGCTAGCACTGACTGGATCACACTTCATAAGGGGCAGAAATTGCATGCTCCATGCACATGTAACCTGCACATGTAACCTACACATGATATTGGATATGTAAGTTTATCTACTGTATTATCCAGCATGTTCTAAAGTTATAAACTAAAAGCTATGAAGCAAAGGGTAAAAATACAGTGTAAGAAAGGATGTTTCTCTTACCCGTAGTTATCAATTTTTAGGAGAAACAAGGCAGAAAACACATCCAAATGCATCTGTGGAGGGCCCTGAGGAAAACTTGGTCCAGGTGTGTGGTTACAAGGGAAAAGCAGGCTACAGAGGGAACATGTTTAGCATTACAAAGGTTAAAGCATCCAACATGCTATGCAGAATCTCCTATAAGATTAAAATCCTCGAATTCAAAGAACTCAGGACAGAAACTTTCCAGGTAAACTTTTCCCACATCACAAGCAATGAGTTTCAGGTCCACCTTAATGTAGTGTCTTGCTGACATTTATTGTTGTCCTTGTCGGAGGTCTATTTTGAACCAAGCTAAATAAAACTAGCAAGTCTTAGGAAAACATTCCTTTCATTTCTGGCTTTCCTCACCCCCGCGCCACAGGAAAAGACTGTTTATGGCTGGGGCTGGACAGAAGCACGGCAGCACCAGGGCGGGAGGCACTTCTGGTTTCACTTGAGGAGGTGGTCTCTTATCCTATGCTGTCCTTCAGCAACAAGATATGATAGCGGGCTAGAGAGCAAATAAACAGTGTGAATTGAAACACTGGATCTTTAACTATGTGAATTCCTTCCCCTGCATTTTCATTCCAGGTCGGAACATAGTGCGGTTAAAAGATGAGGTAAATAAAGGTCTGAGCTACCGGAAGGCAGTGTTACTCCTATCCTAAGTTTGATCATACACCAGAATGCTCTTAGGGAATGCAGTCAGTACCCCAAAACGTTTTAACATCTTGTATATTAAATTTGCTTAGACTCAGACAGAGCCATTGCAGAAAGGATTAATAAAAACTCTATTTATTAACGCAAAATGGTCACAAGAAAAGACACCTATGGCCAGGAGAGCTCTGGGTCACAACTGCCTTTCCCTGGAGAGCAACTGCAGGTACCTTCAGGCATAAAAAAGGCAGCAGTGGAGATCCTGTGCCATTGTTTCTGCCCTTGCACCACAACACCTTGTGTAACTTAATGACAGAGATAAGTTTATAATAAAGATGCCCCAAGGCAAGGAAAAGATGGCACAGTCCCACCTGGTAATGAGAGCATCGCCCTAAGCAGGAGCTCTCGAGCTTCGCCTGCTGTCAAACTGCTCTCCCTGGGACAAAAGCAAGCTGTCAGGTCTGACAGCCATCCGGTGGGTAATTCAGCATGACAAAACAGAGCAAAACAGCGCTAATTCCAGGCGGAGTAGCAAGAATCTGCTTTCTAAGGTCAATAGCAAGAGGTGAGGTGACAGTTCTGGGAGGAAAAAAAGAGGGCGGGTGGAAAGGAAAAAGGAAAAGGGGGAAAGGGAGAAAAAAAGGAAAAAAAAAGGAAATTAAAAAGGGAAAAAGGAAAAAAAAAGAATAAAGGGAAAAGGGGAAAAAGAAAAAAAAAGGAAAAAAGATAAGAATAGAAGGGAGAAAAGGGAAAATGGAAAAACGGTGAAAGAGGGGGAAGGGAAAAAAGGGGGGAAATGGTAAAAGAGAGAAAAGGGAAATAAAGGGGGAAGGGAGGGGAAAAGAGGAAACGAGGGGAAGCGAAGGGAGGGGGAAGGAAAAAAGAGGGAAAGGGGGGAAAGGGAGGAAAAGTGGGAAAAGGGGGGGGGAAGAAGAGAAAAAGGGAAAAACAGGAAAAGGAAAAGGGGGGGGGAAGGAGGAAAACGGGAGAAAAAAGGAAAGGGAAAAAAAGAGAGGTGAAAGGAAGAGAAAGGGGGAAAAAGGAGGAGAAGGGGGAACGGGAAAAAAAGGGGGAGAAAAAAAGGGAGAAAATTAAAAGAAAAAAGAGAAAAAAAAAAGGGAAAATGGGGGTTTGGGGGGGGATGGGATAGGGAAAGAAGAAAACAAAAAAAAAAACCAACAAACAAAAGCGGGGGGAAGCTTTTGAAAGCAGGAGCCAAAATCCCGAGGCCAAGAAGCTGAGGAGGAGGAGCAGCAGCAGAGGGGTGCCCCCCCCCATCCCCCCCCCCCCATAGCCCCGCCGCCCCCCCCCGGTGTGAACCCTTCGACAGATCGGGCCGGGCCAATGGCCGGGCCGGGCGCGGCGGCGGCAGCGGCGGGATTGGCGGCGGGGCTCTGCTGATCCCGGCGGAACCCCGGCGGGACCGAGCGGGGCGGGGGGTGCCGGGGGGGGGATGCCGAGGGGGGAAAAGGGGCCGAGCTTCCCCACTGAACGGGGCTATGTGCGAGGAGAAAGTGCATCAGTGCGGGAGGAGCAGCGCAGGGGGCACTTCCGAGCAGGCGGTGGAGCGGGGAGACGGCGGGGGCCGGGAAAGCGACAGACAAAGAGGAGGGAGGACATGAGCGAAGGGAGAGAGCAGGGGATCAGCTGAGTTAAACCGCGCGGCAAACGCATTCCTGGTTAGAGCCAGGGACAGGTTGCGTGTGTCCCCTCTACACCCTTTTCTTTTTTTGGGGGGGGCGAGAAGACAAAGCAGCAAGTGGCTCCATGGGGAAAGGTGGGGAGAAAGGAGGGGGGTCGGGGGAGCCGGAGGCGCAGCTCCGCTTCTACACCTGGGAGGAGATCCAGAAGCACAACCTGAGGACGGACAAGTGGCTGGTGATAGAGCGAAAGGTTTATAATGTCACCAAGTGGGCAAACAGACACCCGGGGGGTCAGCGAGTGATCAGCCACTGGGCCGGCGAAGATGCCACGGTAAGGACCCAACGCACGGACATTCCCGCGGCTGCATCCCGGCGTTCAGCAGCATCCCCCCTGCCAGGGCACCGCCTTCCCGGTGCTCCCCAAGGAGAGAGCCAGCCGCCTGCCTCCCCCCCCCCCCCCCCAGCCTCTCTTAACACTCGCTGTACACCCAGCTCATCTCCTTCGCTGCTTTTAGGACGCAAAGGTTGGTCCAAATAGATGCAGCTCCTTGGCTTGAGCCATGGCGATTAGCAGCATCTGCAAGACCTGGTCGGTAGAGATTGCTCGGCTCTGCTTTCAGCCTCGCTGTTTTGTCTTTGTCTCTTGTTTGTGCTGTATCTGGAGTTCTAAATTCAGGAGTGGAGGCATCCCAAATCTCCCCCTCTTCAGTGTGTAGTTTATGACATGCAGATGCACAGCAGCCAAGCACAAGAAAGGGTTAAGGAGAGGCCAGGCTGTGTTTCACAGTTGTTTCTGTGAGGAAGGTGAGCTTGAGGTTTAAAACAAGGAGCTTTTTAGCTTTATTTTTTACTCCAGGGGAGAATCCTCTGGAGAATTTAGCTACAGGTTTCTACAGAAAAGGGGGAAAAAAACCAGCCTTTTGCTAATGCTTTTCCTAGCTGGGTTCAGCTGCCTCATGTTTCAGCAACTTCAAAACCCCAACAAACAAACCCATCCAAACAGAATCCCTTGAAAAAGGAACAAATTGCCTCAGACTGTTGTCTGCACCCTGTTCAGAAGAGCATCCGGGAACAACTTCTCTCCCCAGGGTGTTATTAGCCCCTAGTTAATAAAATGCCTACTGCCTGGGAGCTGTTCCAATACCTGTGTAAGGGCAGGAGAGGCCAAGCTGCAGCATTAACTGTTCATCCCCCACTGCTCTTAACACCTTAGCAAGGAGGAGGCTCTGTGTGTGGCAGAATTAATTGGCAAGATTTACTAACCTTTGCTTTCCATCCATCTCCATTTGCCTGTCCTCTGTGGCTATTTTCCATTCGTTTCCTTGAAGCATTCATTTCCATTCATTTCCTGAGATGCCTTTTGGTATTCCTGTCCCCCTTCCAGTAAATCCTGTGAATGAATAGCTTTCTCCCTCAAAAAGATAGGCCAGGTTTTACTTTCAGCTGCTTAAATGCAGCCCTGCTGAAACCAGAGGAGTTTGACTCCTATCCCCAAGAATTTAACTCCAGTATCTCCACTTGAAACCAAAATGCGTCTGCTATTGCATTTGTCTCCAATCCTTACCAGGAAAGGACCACAGGTTTCTGATTTTACTTACTGCTGGCCCTCATCAGATCCACCTTCGCACTGTAGGTTGCATCCCACTATACTCAAGAGCACACTCTATGAAGGCATAGTCTTAAGAATACTCTGAAATTGTTAATCATCACAGCTCTGAGTGATAAAACCAAGTTGGCATCTGTTTTCCAGCTTCCCTGTGGTGAATAACAGTTTACTGCCAAAAAGAAGTCTCATTCAGGGTGAGCAAGTCTTGGCCTTGACCCTGTCAAGGCTTAACTAACAAGTTTCATTCTGTGTTGCAAGATATCACGACTGGAAGAGTTTAGGAGGAGGAAAAAGCAATGATAAAACTTCAGTTGAACATGTTTATGTTCCTAGTTTGTACGTGGCTTCCATCTTTCTCAGATTCTCCTCACGTGCAGTGAGGACCTCTAGTCCAGCAAACGTAGAACCACAGAATGGTTTGGTTTGGAAGGGACCTTAAAGCTCACCCAGTTCCAACCCCTGCCACGGCAGGGACACCTTCCACTGGAGCAGCTTGCTCCAAGCCCCTCTGTCCAACCTGGCCTTGAACACTGCCAGGGATGGGGCAGCCACAGCTTCTCTGGGCACCCTGTGCCAGCGCCTCAGCACCCTCATATTGAAGAATTTCTTCCTAATATCTAAACTCTTCAGGTTAAAGCCCTTCCCCCTTGTCCTGTCCCTACATGCCCTTGTAAAAAGCCTCTCTCCAGCTTTCTTGTAGGCTCCCTTTAGGTATTGGAGGGTAAAACCTCAGCATCTTGTCCATTTACCAGTCCTCTAGAGGATAGGGTGCATCCATCTACTACAAGCTGCCCACTGAAACACTCACTGAGCTCTATACCCATGCCTGGCCACTCTATCTTGCTTGGTGATACATGAGCTAATTCATCTCAGGATGCTCACAGGACAAGGTGAGAAGCTTCCAGGATAGCTGTCATGTTCTGCATGCTCAGCTCAGGTTAGGGGTTTCCATGCTAGCTTATGCATGAATTTCCCCTGCACATACTAACAACACTGAGCGTTCATTCATTTTCGGCCATGCTTTAACACCCTGAGACAGCATACTTCTCTGGGGCAACCTGTCTTGGTATCACATCATGCACAGTTGCCTTTAGAAAATGAAGGCAAGAGTGTGCAAAGGCACCCTGCAGTCTCTCTCTTCCAGAAATGTTCAAGGATGTGAAAGAACATCCTTGTACTGACTGCACTAAGCACTTCAAATGCTCATGTACAATTCATACTTCAATAATACAAAGCTTATTAGCCAGCAGACCACAAAATTGGGAGGTCAGGTGTAAATATCATATGGCACTTCCCAAAGACTATGTTATGCCTTTCCCTCTTTATCTCCTCTAGAAAACAGACCTGAGGACAATTCCAAAATTCAGGTAGTATCTTATATTCGGGACCTATTAGTGAAGGAGATGCATGAGACGTAGCTAATAAAAAGCAATCCTGTGTGATGATGGTAAGAGTATTCAGGTGATGTTTTTCTCCTGCCTGGAGGCTATAGTGGAAAAGCCCATTCTCTACATATATCAGTGACATACGTGTGTATTACTTGTCAGTGAAGGTAAAACTTTCCTGCTGCCAGCACTTCCCTCATGGCATAGGCTTGTGATGGAAGTGGAAGATAGTAGTGTAGTTTTGAGTAACAGCTGTGTTTTGACGTGCATGATGGCTTTTCTGACCAGTTCCAACCTTTACTTTTCATCCCATCTATAAAAAGTGAGGAACTGAGTTCAGAGGCAGAACTGCCTGTGGGAAAGTCATGTCAGAGCATTTATAAGCATGTTTAGAAAACAGATGGGTACTGGCAGGGAGGCCCCAGGTAGACAAAAATACCTTTTAGGTGGTCAGGCAGAAGCTGCTGTTCTGAGTCAACCCCAATTCATACAACGTGAATCAGTGAGATCTCCAGGCAATACCTGGTCAGACCTCCAAAGGCTTCTTCTTTACTTTAAATAACATTGAATCAACATTCTGTAATGCTTCTCATGTGTCCACCCTCTCCCTCTTTCCCCTTCTTGCCCTTTTTTTGCCCCAAATTGCAAAACCTTGCAACAGGTACAGTCAGCTTTTTCCAACTCATTTTGCTCACACATTTCAGTGGCATTTATGGGTCTGAGAGCTGAAAATGCTGCAGTAACTGAAGGACTAGTGAGAAAGGCTTAAGGCTGGTCTGCCACTAGTTGTAACTTTGTGCATGGCCTGTGCCATCAGGAGAGGATGGTGTTCCTTAACCTCAGATGGGCTGTGATAGTAGCACCAGAAAGGGAGAAGTATGCATAAATCATGGTAAATCAAGTTAGGTTCCTCAAAGTAGAGAAGGAATATGGTGACTTGGGGCAAGTATTTCTTTGGATGGGAAATTCCGATTGTCTGTAGCTCTGGAAACAGCTTTGCTCATTCATTTTGGCACCAATAAAGTAACACCAGAGGCTAACCCAATGAAGTCAAAAAGTCCCACTTGTGCCAGGCTAAGTTTTACCAGTGATGCACTCCTCAGGAGAGAACATGGATAAATTGATCCAAACATCTCCCTGTGGCAACAGGGATCACTTGTCTATTAAATTGGTTCTCAGAGGGGATAGTTTGGGTACTGGTATGAGGAAAATCTGGTGCTTTACAGAAAAAGTGCACTTCAGTTTCATTTCTGGTATTTCAATTTACCTCTCCCATTGGAATGACATCCCCCCCCTTCTTTCTTCCCCCAAACTCTGGCATTTTATGGCTTTTTTAATCTTTAAACCATTCCCCAGGGTTTTATTTCTCTCCTGCACCTGTAGTAGCTCTTCTCTCCCCTCACCCCCCCTGCCAATGCTGCAGCTCTAACTTCTCGTGTATCATTTCTTTAACTTCAAGTTAAATGGCTGAGATCAGCTTTCACTCTCCCTCCTTATATGCCTCCCACAGCAAAAGTTCTATGGTCAGGGTATTATTCCAAAGCTCAATCCAGAGTCTTGGAATGAGGTGAAAGTTCCTATTGATTTTGGTGGACTTTGGGACCAAGGTTGTTGGCTGGTATTTTTGAACACCAGAGCCAGATTTTGATGGAGGTCAACTCTCAGAAGAGTAAGGCGGACACACTGAATACTGACCAGTTTGTGTTTAGAGCCAGAAATGAGGTTTCAGTTGGTCTCTACAGTTAGGCAATGAGACAAAGGTGGAAAGGCTTGAAGCATGGCACTCCTTACTTCTGTTTTTGGCTGATTTTGATGTACCGGTCTTATCACTACATGGAATTACATCTTTATACCTCTCCTAGGTGAATTTATAGAATTAACTCTAGTTCTGTGTAGTCAAGAAAAGGACGTGGACAGAGTGACAGTTTCTGATCTTGATCAACTTTCTGTTCCTACCACTGTATTTGCAACTAGAATTCAAGCCATGTGAAAGGAGGGGTAGGCAAGATTTCACTACGAGCAGCAGATGCATCAAATAAATGCTCCCGTCAGGCATCTGCAGGACATAGGTAGGCAAAAAACGTGTGGAAAGGGGAAGGAGTACAGAAAAAGAAGAGCCAGGCAAACTCATGAATGCCAGGATCCAAAAGACTCTACAACCAAAGCATTGTCCTTCCCTATTAGAAGTCTTGAAAATATGTGAGGAAAATAATATTCCAGCTGTGTTTCCTGCTTTTCCAGCCTCAGGATTCCATGGGCACAGGATTTATTTCACAAGTTTCCTCAACCTTGAGTTTCATCCCCCAATTAGATTCTGTTGCTGAAACTCAACACATTATTTATGTCTCTTATCACATGTTGGAGGGGCTTCAGTAAAATGTACCCAATATTCAAGGCATGCACTGAATAGAAAATATAGAAGCAGCCTTGCAAAAGATTAATGAGCCTCTTATAGGGACAAGCAGCCATATACCACAGCACTGTAAATGACAAGAAGTCTTGTAATGCATATTGATAGCTGTAATCTCTTCAACCTGCTTAGCATTATTAATATGAGGAAAGTTGCTTTATGGTGTAGGTCTCTTTTTGAATGTGGTCTTAGCCACTGCAAAGCTTGGTAACAAGCACTTTAAAGCAATTGCTTTAAAGCTTTGGTATACAACAGAGTTTTTGGGTTGATTCCTTTCTAAGACATTTTACTTGGACTTGCATGGAGGTGGAATTGCCTGTATATCTAGAATATGGTTCTAGAATAAAGAAAAGTTAAGGTAGCATTTGGTTACTCATCTTAGAGAACAAAAGGAGAAAAGCAGTCTCCAAAATGAGGAGTCACCACTTTTTCCTTAGCTATGTTAGTGCCTCTGCAGGTCTGGCCAAACCATCCAGCAATACTTTATGTATCTGCAGTCATGTCCAGGTTCAGTCACCCCCTCTCTTGAATTGCCTCCTCCAGGCAGCAGGCTTTGAAAAGGTATTTATATCCTTGTGGGGATTTGCACAAATTCCTCTCTGCCTACTACCTTCTGAGGGAATTAACAGGATTTAGGTATTTAGTTGCTTAGAAAACATTTATTGAGGTGCCTTTCACCATATGGCTAGGTAACATCCCAGGTCTCACCATTTGCTTGCTATTAGATAGGCAAATTCATCAGCCTTTGGTAGAAGTGCTGTGCTGACAATGACAACAGAGGTGGAAGCCACTCTGACACACCTCTTTCACAGTAACATAGTGGGGATGACTGCAGAGAAGGACAGTGCTGGATATGGATGGGAATGACGCAAGTAGGAAGCAAGAACTTACTCCTGAATCTCACACAATTACTCCTATTCCCACTCCAGGATGCATTCCAGGCTTTCCACATCAATCCAACCTTGGTGCAGAAGTTTCTCAAGCCATTACTTATTGGAGAGCTTGCTCCAGGGGAACCTAGCCAGGACCGGGATAAAAACGTGAGTATTTGTTTCTGAGCTAGGGGTTCTGATGGGCATGTTCCCCGTTTTGTTCCTTTTGGGATGTCCTACAGGTCAGAGGCAGATTATAAAGCTCCAGGAAAGGAGAAAAGTGGTCCATGACTGAACATCTGCATGTAGCAATATGCACATCCCAGTATAGATTAAAAGTGTGTGGAAGGGAGGTGACACATTCAGACTGGCTGTACGTCTGGACTAGGAAATATGCACCACCTCTTGGTGTCCCTTCTGCTGTTCCCTCCCTGGTGACCGAGCTCTAAAACACGTATCACCACTTGCCTGTTATGGGGAAAGGAGAGGAGTAGGGAGGGAAATCTGTAAAGACTTCCAAACTAATTGCTCAGCACCTCAACAAGACTTGAATCTCTTCACTGTTCACTCTGCAGCTCCCTTAACAGATTAGCTCCTAGGAAAACACATATTTGAGACTCAAACTGGCTTATCCTGCTGAGACCAGTATGAGCAAAGCTCTGGAGAGCAGCCACATTTGTGCCATGCATGGCATGAGCAGTAGGCACCTATGGGTTAGGAGAAGCAATGTCTCATTTTGGTGGCCGTGCTTAAGGAGCAGCAACCCAGCAAGTACCCTTTTTTTTCCCACTCAGCATCCTCAGGGCATCTCTGTATCCCTCCCAGACAGTCTGTTCATCCATTATTCAGGCACAGAGCAGGGCATGATTAGCTCTTGCTGTGAAACTCAATCCTGTCCCCTTGTTTGTGACTAGCCATGATTATGATATATCTGTATCACTCACAGTAGAAGAGACAATGGTGCATTAACTCAGGAATGCTCTTCTTGAATGATTGCATAGTACCTGACCCACATATTAAATAGATGATGGGTGCTCTGATATTGAGTGCTAATCATCAGAGCTCTGGAATTATGCATAGGTAATAGGATCACATTATCTCTTTCTCCAGCTGTCTCTTTAGTACTTGTAAAGCTCATTCAGATGAGAGTCATCAGCTGATGTAACTCTCAACACAGCCAGGTAGTGCTGCTGATTCACAGCTGAAGGCTTGGATTGCTCTCTTAGCTCAAGGTTCAAAATGCCAGGATATGGGCTCAGACCAGCCAGGATGTTTATTCATAGGGAATTGCTATGAAAAGCTAGAATACAGGGTGAATATGGAGGCAGGTTCTTCCTTACTTCTGGAGAAGCCAACCAACACAAAAAGCAGCCAGGATGCTTAGCATTTTATTTAGCCTTAGAGTTCCTTAGGCTCATTCAGATTTACTTATAAGCTTCACATGGTGTCTTCCATGTCTGTTTGCAGTCCCAGCTGGTGGAGGATTTCCGGACCCTGAGGAAGACAGTAGAGGACATGGACTTGTTCAGAGCAAATCCTTTGTTCTTCTCTCTTTACTTGGGCCATATTATTGTAATGGAAGTGTTGGCTTGGTTAATGGTTTCATACTTTGGTAATGGCTGGATCACAACTTTCATCCTCTCCTGCATCCTTACAACTTGCCAGGTGAGAAATGGTGGGCACCGAGCATATTGGCTCCTCAAATCATTCAGAGAAGGCCAGCTACTAGAGCAGAACATTCACATCAGTGAAAACCATTCCCAACATACCTGCCACTGTGGTGCCAGTGGCTTCTGGCCACCCCTACCCACTGATGATGGTGGCTCACACATTTTTCTCACCTCTTTGGCCTTTCCTTCCACATGTTGGTGGACCTGGGAGTGTTAGGCTTATGGGTGGACACAACGACCTTAAGGGTCTTTTCCAAACAATGATTCTATGATTCTGTGTTCTCCTCCAGAGCGAAAACTGAGATCTTCAGCTTCTCGCTTCAGTTATTTCCCTCTCTTCCTTACACTCAAAATTAGTCTTCTATCTCAATTTCCTTTTGTGCTTAACTCTGATTCCAAATGCTTGATTTCCCTTCGTCCTAGGCCCAGGCAGGGTGGCTGCAGCATGATTTTGGACACCTCTCTGTCTTTAAGAAGTCTTCCTGGAACCACATCCTCCACAAGTTTGTCATTGGACACCTGAAGGTAAAGGACTTTATGGACCCAGTGCACTGTGGAAACAACTGCAGTCGCTTTGACTAGGTTAAAGTAGGAAACGGCAGCTCTAAGTCTTTCTATAGTGAGGAGATGCCCAGCAGAGAGGTTAGTGACCACTGCACATGGTGCTGCTGTGCAGAAGAGATAAGGGACCCTAATCATAGCTATTACAGAACACAGTAGTTCCACAAGGTTCAGTGGAACTGCACCATTTTATAGCATTTGAGGACAAAGCTTATTACATTGCATAAACCCCTGTTTTAACATCCTGTCATGTTTTCACCATGCTCTCCACCATCCATTCAAGATGCCTTCAGAACTTCTATCCTCAGCTTCTATCATCATTCTGGGCTTTTCAGCATCTGCCTTCAGGAGGAGCTTGTAGAGGGTGGGACACAGCTTTGCCCATTCTCTCAAACCCACTCCATCTTGTCTGGTTCCAGCAGAGGGAAACCAGAACAATAATTAGTAAGACATCAAGAGGGTTTAATGGTGGATTTGGTAGTGTCAGTTTAATGGTTGGACTTGATGATCTTAAAGGTCTTTTCCAACTTAAATGATTCTATGATTCCATGAATATTAATAACAACTAACAACAGCTATTAATAACAACTTCACATGTGGGAAGATATGGTGACATGCAACTCAGAGTGTATTTATTCCCTGTTCTTTCAATCTGGATGATCCCTAGTAAGGGTAAAGCAGCCCTCTGAATCCAGCAGTCTCACAGCAACTGACACCTTGGCCACTTACCGCTTATTGCTGTCTCAAAAATGAATCAGAGCTTGGCCATAATCTGAGTTGCACCATTGTAGTTTATATTAATGAATGGGTAATCCTACCATTAGAGGAATTGTAGTTTCCCATGGTCTTGTATCTGCCCAGGGTGCCTCTGCAAACTGGTGGAACCATCGTCACTTCCAGCACCACGCCAAGCCCAACATATTCAAGAAGGACCCAGATGTCAACATGCTGCATATTTTTGTCCTTGGAGATACGCAGCCTGTTGAGGTAAGGGAAAGGGGGTAAACCATGGAAAACCATTGTTCTAAAGGGCTTCAGAGAATGCTTGTGCAAAACCAGGACCTGGCTAGTGTTGGTAGACATGACTTACAGGAACGCTGGAAAGGGCAATGCTTCATCCAGGGATTTCATCTGTCTGATGAAATGTTGTCTGATAGGAGTTTGCCATCAGACCCTCCCAAACCTCGGGCTGAAGAGCAAGATTGACTGTGTCATTCCCTATCCATTACCTATACTGATGACGGAAGAAAGTGTTTTGGGGTAGCTTGGGAAAAGCAGTAAGGTGGGATCGGAAAGAAAGTAGAAAACCATTAAAGACGACTTCATCCCTTTGGCTTGAAATACCAACACGAGAGGAAAAGAATTGTGTTCCTCAGTACTTCATCAACAGTGTTCCAAAACTGATCTTCCATTTCCACAGAAAATACCTTCCAATATTAGTCAGCCCTGCTGTGCCCCCAACAGTCTGTACAAGCTCCTCACCACTGAAACCTTTGCCATGCAGTTAAAGGGATGTTGCTTGCATAAGCAGTAACTTCTTCCTTTCTTACATTAACTACATACTGACATGGTGCACATGGAGTAACAGCCTGTTTAAGGGATTTTAACTCAATATGTCCTTCTAGAGCCAACATATTTACTATCTACTCTATAAAAACCTAGACAAAGCACTTAAACCGTGTATCATTCGTGGTCTTTTTTACAATGGAACAAAGATCTCTGGTTTTAAAAACAACAAACAAACCAAAGAACACAAAATGCAGAAACATTTGCAGCAAAGACAACGCAGGGGAATACAACATGAAAAGTTAAGGGTTTCTCAGCCAGCTTTTGTACTATTGAGAAAGTAACTCTGGACACATGTAGGGGGACATACACACTGGTATATGGACATGTATAGAGAATGCCTTACACACGTAATATTCAAGAGGCAGAAGGGCTCTTCTATGTGACTAAAATGAAAGCCTTCTCCTGGGGTGTAAAAAAGCCCCTATCAAGAAGATGTAAATTAGTATTGCACTCTTAAATGTGTGGGTACCACCCATTTAAATCTTGTGCCTGATAACTGGGTTTAAAAGCAGACCACGGTTGCAGCACTTAAAGGAAAATCTAAGGATGCAAACATTTATGACAAGGAAAACTGGATCTTCTTCCTATAAAATATATGAAATATTAGGCCAGCATCAGTCTATCCCAATAGTCCTTCATACTTGCATATAACCCTTTTACAGGCGATGCTAAAAAGACAGCCATTGAGAGCCCAGACCAGAGTGAATGATGTGCCTGATGTATTGGTGCTATAAGACTTACCTTCATGGAGAAGTTGTTATGCTGGAAGCAAAAATGCAGGTTCAAAGCAATCTAGAGTCTCCATGCATTAGCCCCTTGTGTGATCCACTCCTGCAGCTCAAAACAGACACATATGTATAGCTGCAGATATTTCACTATAGAGATGAGGTTAGGAGACTGGGTGCTGAAAAGAAATGGGAACCTGCAAAAATTCAATAAAAATTATATTCATATCAAGCTAAAAGACCTTTTAAAGAGATTTCCACCTATCACAATTAGAAAGTCGATGTATCTAACCATACAAAAACACATGGTGGTGGGAGTTTAGGCAAAACTCTTCACTCAATAACTAAAGAAGTATTACAGAGAATCTTCTCTTTCATGTGTCCTATTCCAATCCTGAGCTTTCTCCTCTGTGTTCTGCAGTATGGCAAGAAGAAACTGAAGTACCTGCCTTACAATCACCAGCACGAGTACTTTTTCTTCAGTGAGTATCTGCACTCTTCCTTTTTCCCTGAATTCCAGTGGACCTTTCCAGCCCCTACTATGTTAGCAGAGCAACTCCTGAAGTCTCAACTCATCCTCAGGATGACTATACCCTGAGCAGGTCCCAAAATCAGTTCAGTGTATTCTTCAGTGATACCCAAGTATCTTGAACATTGCCAGCATGGCAATTCCCAGCTAAGACTGGGAAATAACTTCTGTGTGAGAGGCTCCATGGGAAAAATGCATGTTGCCATTGCTCTTTGATAAGTCAAGATGAATGGGTGTGCAGCAGAGCCTCCTTTCTTCACAGAAAGGCAACCTTTCACTACTCTCACCAGCGCTAGGCAGAACCAGAACTAGTTCCTAAACCTAGGAAATCCTAGGTTTCCCTAGACCCAGTCCTATATCACTGCTCACTCATGTCACACACCTTTCCACCCCTCTGATGTCCAAAACCTTTCCTTTTGCTTTGCAGTCTTCCCACCCCTGCTCATTCCTGTGTATTTCCAAATGCAAATCATCTCGACCATGATCAAGCGCAGGTTCTGGGCGGTGAGTGAAATGTGCCTTAGATCTTCATGGGGTCTGGTTGGCTCATAAGAAATCACACTTGAGTAGGGAGGGAGACCAGTGGGCAGGAATCACACTTTGGTGCATTAATTACCCAGTGTCCTAACATCACCAACAAGGACATATTACATGAGATAGGCAAAGTGATGCCTAATGTCTTCTCTCTTCCCCTAGGACCTAGCCTGGGCCATCAGCTACTACATACGCTACTTCATCACATACATCCCATTCTATGGCGTTCTGGGATCCCTGTTTCTCCTCACTTTTGTCAGGTAGGAGATAAAGGGCATCCCTGCTGCTCTCCCCTCCCTGCAGTGCCAGATGAACTGGCTCAGCTCCGCTGTACCCCACAGGCCTTTTAGGTTCTTTGCAGTCATTGACCTCACTGTGTGTTATCTTGCTATTCCCACTGCTTCACTTTCCTCTTTATCATCTCCCAATTCTACCTCCCTGCAGCAGAGCTGGTTCTGGTGCTCAGCATCTTTCCCTGCCTGCATCTTCTCCCTTGTGATGGTCCAGCCAGGATTCTCCCTTCTTTCCCTGTTCCCTGTTCTCACATGCTGCCTGATTCCAACACACGTATGCATTTTTTTCCACTTTGCTCAAGTCTGGACCCTTCCAGAGAGCCTCAGGCCATTCTGTTTGTTCCCAGCTTACTGGGAAGGTGATTCAAGATCCCTCCTGAGCACTGCATGTGCTTCCTCTGTGAGAGAAATGCTCACTGCTTCTCCCAGTGTGGAAGACTGCATGGCCTGTACACAGGCTAGTACTAAGGGATAGCATTTAGTCCCACAGTCAGCACAAGTTTTAAGGGAAACTTTTAATCACAGTGAAAAACATTTTCTCAAGCCAAAATTTTAATTTTTTTTTGAGTAAAAGAAATCACAACAAATGTGCAAAACCCATCACAGCATTAGAACTTTTGCCTTCACAACATCTAGTGTCTGTAGCTTCAGTTTTCACAGTTTCAAAACACTTTGGAACTAAGGAAAAGAGATTCAAGAGACTCACCTGAAGTACCCAGCCAACCTTTTCAGTCTGAAATCAAGCTGAAAAACTTACAACTGACCCATTATTCCCAAAACTTCTGTGTTTTTATTAAGCTAAAAGTACAAGAGGCAAACCTGCAAATTCACATTAAATGCTCTTTGAGAAACAAGCCTAAAGACTAGAACAAGGATGCTTCTGGACAACTACTTTGTCAGCATACATTTAATTCTCAGCATAGAGAAACTGGGCATTTCTGTAGACTATACAGATGCTAAAAATGCAATTATATACCATAAGCAATAAACGAGCTGCTCTAAGGTGGTACCCAGGCTAGGGCAGAGTTAAGACTCAACACTATAGGTATTGAGAGAGCAAAGGGAAGCTGGGAGCTCCAGTGTGCTGAGCTCAGCACTCAGAAAGCTAACACCAATGGGCAGGTGGATTTTGAAATGACTGTATATGGGAAAGATGAAAACAGTTCTGAGAATTCCAGGTTCTGGGAAACCCATCACAGAAGTGATTCACTCTGGTGTACTCATCAAGAGAGGTATCTACTTCAATACCTCAGAGAAATTCTCCCTGTTAAGCCCACTCTATTTACCTCTTACCCCCATCTGCAATGTAAATTGTTCTGCTTTCTTGCCTGTTTGTTTGGAAGGTTTCTGGAGAGTCACTGGTTTGTGTGGGTCACGCAGATGAATCACATTCCAATGGAAATTGATTCCGAAAAGCACAGAGACTGGCTTAGCTCTCAGGTAACTGGGAAGGGAAAGGATACCCCTCATTCACCCCAAAATGGGTTAGAGATTCATATAGAGAGCACACAAGAAGCTTAACATGAGCTGGCAGTGTGTGCTCGCAGCCCAGAAAGCCAACTGTATCCTGGGCTGCATCAAAAGGAGCGTGACCAGCAGGTCGAAGGAGGTGATCCTGCCCCTCTACTCTGCTCTTGAGACCTCACCTGGAGTATTGTGTGCAGTTCTGGTGTCCTCAACATAAAAAGGACATGGAACTGTTGGAACAAGTCCAGAGGAGGCCACGAGGATGCTCAGGGGCTGGAGCACCTCCCGTATGAAGACAGGCTGAGGAAGTTGGGGCTGTTCAGCCTGGAGAAGAGAAGCTGCGTGGAGACCTCATAGCAGCCTTCCAGTATCTGAAGGGGGCCTATAGGGATGCTGGGGAGGGACTCTTCGTTAGGGACTGTAGGACAAGAGGTAATGGGTTCAAACTTAAACAGGGGAAGTTTAGATTGGATATAAGGAAGAAGTTCTTTGCTGTGAGGGTGGTGAGGCACTGGAATGGGTTGCCCAGGGAGGTTGTGAACGCTTCATCCCTGGCAGTGTTCAAGGTCAGGTTTGACAGAGCCTTGGGTGCCATGGTTTAGTGTGAGGTGTCCCTGCCCATGGCAGGGGGGCTGGAACTTGATGATCTTAAGGTCCATTCCAACCCTAACTATTCTATGATTCTATGTGTTACCTTTTCGCCAGGTACTAGTATATGGTCTCTGTCCATGTTGCATACCAGAAAGATGTCCTCTCAGAGCCTGCAATACTGATCAAGACATTGAAATCTAAAATTCTGTAATTAAATTGACAATCAAAAGATTACTTTATATTTGAGGCAGTACCAGGTTCAAGAAGCATGACCTGCCTTTCCTGGGTTGGTGTATTCAGCAGATACAGATGAGCAAACAGAAGAGCCCCAACAAAAATCAAAGCTGAAGGGGAGCTCAATATATTCCTCAAGTTTATATTTCAGCAATAAGGATTGAAATGAAAACCAGATGCTTTCTACCTCGTTTTAATGCCTCAGGGGCAGATAAATCCACTCTGCTGAAAGGATACCTCTTATTTACAGTGCTCCAAGCCCTATTCAGACCTAGAGGATAATGAGAGCAACTTTGGCACTGACAGTAGGAATTTGGTATTACTGAGTTGAGAGAAGAAATCATCTTTCTTAGCTAGTATATAATTACTATTCCTAGTTTTTAACAGGGCCTTGAAGGTCAAGTTTCAAAGTCAGTTTCTCTCCCTCGTGCTAAATATGCTAAAACACAAGAAAAAAAGGTGCTAAAAGTGCTATTTAGGAAAGCACCTACACATTTGTTTTAAATTAAGCATGTGAATAGAGTCACTGAAGGCTTGGGTGCATTCAGATGTTCACCTTAAGCTTTTGCTTAAGCACCTTATGCAACTGGAATTTGTAGGTAAAGAGGTTGTGAGAGTGAGAGATTTGGGGAGGGGGCTTATAAAAGAAAGAGAAATGGGGAAAGAAGGATAAAATGTGTTTGTGATAGAGGGAGATAGGCCTCTTTGATGTGGTTTTAAGATGCATCTTGGAAAGGGTGAGGAGCATATGTGTCCTATGGTTATGATGTAGAAATCACAGCTTAGCCACTCTGAGTAAAAGAGGATTTTAAGCAAGGCTACCTAATTTTACCATCATTAGTAGCAAGAGTAGTTAAGATTTCCAGAATATTCAGACCTTGTGCTTAAGGCAAAGTGAGCAATAACTAGATGGGATTTGGAAAGCAGCTTTCTGTGTCCATGTACTTTCCTCCCATTTTCCACCTTGGTACTGTTGTTAACCACCTGATTTTCAAAGGGAAGGGGCTGAGATTTATAAGTCTATACTTGGGCTGCTAAATTACTTGTCACCAAATGTCCATAAAGTGGCTCCTGATCATGTCCCTTTTACCATGGTCAGCCCAACAGTTGTCAGTAAGCCCTGAAAGGAGGATTAAAGCTCCCCTTGCTGCCACCAGCTACCTCACAGCAGCAGTCTTGTGCACTCTGACAGGTCGGTAGTGCAGTAAGACCCAGATCAGCACTCTGCCACAGGCAAAGAGGAGCTTGTTCTGACTTTAGGGTGAGACTTCACTACTCTTCACAGCTGCTCTCTTGCCTTCCCAGATGGCAGCCACCTGCAATATCGAGCAGTCCTTCTTCAATGACTGGTTCACCGGGCACCTGAATTTCCAAATTGAGCACCAGTGAGTATGGACCCAGCATCATTTGGCCACTACCAGGTTGTCACAACACAGGACATGAGGGGAGGGAAAGTCTGCTAAAGACACATGTGTGGGATGGGGCAGGATCTTTGGAGCGCTACCATATGCCAAGGAAAGAGAGGCCAAGAATCCTGGGGGTCATAGTCTCCTTCTACTACAGACATGGCGTCTTTTCCTGCTACCAAATACTTCAGCTTTCACTTTCACACTTTTAATTTGGGGTTTAAATGAGAGTCTGTGGTACATCTCTACCAGTTACAGTGGTATGGACTCAAATTCTAAGCTAACTGCTGGAATTTGAATATCCAACTTCCTCTCCCCTAAAACACTTCAGTGTTTAACAGCATCTGGCATCTGTGTGGGAGTGCACATGCTGTTGGATACGAGGTTCCAGGAGAGAGATTAAAACCAGGGCCATAGGGACAGTCTGTTGCTAGTGAAAACATTGAATGTAAAAGAGCATTGAAGAGGGCAAGGTGATCCTAAATCCTTCTTTACCTCCTTCTCTGCTCCATGAGCTTCCAAAGGTGGGAAAGGAGGTCATTGGGAATTCAATTCAACAAGAAACATCTAGGACTTCCCAAAGGGAATAGGCAGGATCCCAGCAGCCTGGGGCTGTTTCCTCACTCCTGCTTCCCCTGTATTGCTCTTGGAGTGTCCTCTCCAGCACAAACTGCCTTTCATTGTCTTTCTTGAGCACAGCTTTGTTCTGAGGCATGGCAGGAGAATCAAGGCATTCATTTTTCAAAGCCTCCTTGAAACAGAGGACTATAAAACATGGGTATCTCTCTGTGCCTCTCTTGTCTGCTTATACAGCTTAAGGAGAAGGCATTAATAATTAGCCTCTATGAGGAGGCAGCCAGAGGTGCCCATCCCTTGGGTTCGGTCTCTTGCATCCTCTCAGGTTTGTTTTCTCTTTTCTCTATTCAAGCCTGTTCCCAACAATGCCACGGCACAATTTCTGGAAGGTAAAACCTTTGGTGAAGTCATTATGTGCCAAGTATGGAGTCCAGTATGAGGAGAAGCCTCTTGGAAAAGCATTTGTAGACATCGTTGGGTAAGGTCCTTTTAGTATCATCTGCAGCTTGTAATTCATTGTTCCATGGACATCCTGTGTTTTCTAGAACAGAGAATTCAGGACATTATAGAACTTTCAGAAATACCATGGCAATATGTTGTAATCTGGTGTCATGACGTTACTAATCTTCATATCTATAGTCCAAGGAACAGCCACAGTAGTGTTGACCCACAGCAGAGATGACAGAGCTCCACTGACTTAGTGGACTAACATCAGGTGACAGCAGAAGGCAATAGGTGATGGGGGAAGAAACTGTCCCCCAGAGCAGCTTCTGCAGCTGAAGTATTATCAAAGTTCCGAACACTTAGTGTTCAGATAAGTTGTAACCTGATCTAATAGAGACTCTTTGTAAATGCTCTTCTGACACCTGGTGATTCTTGCTTTTAGGACCTGGCAGCATATCTTCAGGCTGCAAGATGAGATGAAGCAAAGGGGAATGAGTCTTGTTACAGCCCATGCTGCTTTCCATCTGAGCCCTGGCGGCAGCAATGGTCTATTCCTTATAGGCACAGCTGAAGACCAACCTAATAGTCCTTGCCAGGCAGACTATGTGTTAATGTTTCTGTCTCAGTTACTCCAAGAGGAATAATTCATGATAGGGAACATGAGAAAGTATTCTGCAGTCCAGATCTCCACTTGCAAACCATTCTGAGCAAACACACATTAAAGCTGCTTGGCCCCACCATTTAGAAGAGCTGAAAACTGGTTCAAAACCTGCTTTGCTCTTCTCATCCAGTTAGCACAGGACAATGGATGCAACACTGGGACCCAGCGGGGTGATGTCCAGCATCCCCCATATAGTGCCCACATCCCTACAAGAGTTCTCACAAACCATCTCAGCAATCACTTGCCCTGATTGAAGGCTTTTGTCAGAGTGGAAATGTTTAAGGCCAGGCTGGACAGGGCTTGGAGCAACCTGCTCTAGTGCAAGGTGTCCCTGCCCACGGCAGCGGATTGGAAATGGAGGAGCTTTAAGGCCTCTTCCAACACAAACCATTCTATGATTCTGTGACTTTTGGGGACAGATCAGCTCAGCTCTGTCACATAATACCTGCAGAGGTGATGCAGATGGGAAATTCTGTATGATAATTCCCAGGGGGGAGCAGGGAAGCACCTTCAGAGGTGCAACATGGTAAGCACAGGCAGTTCTGCTCTGCTGTTTATTCAGGGCCAGAGGGGCTATGAATAACAGAGTGGGCATCAGGTGAAGCTCTTTCTCATTTTGGCTCTTCTTGCTATACTGGGGAAAGACATTTGGTGTCTTATGGACTCATATTCAAGTTCAATTACAGGCTTCTTTGTAGGGAAAAAAGGACAGAGGCAAGATTCACACACCAAAAAAACATTTCTCCATTTTTTTTTCCACAGGTCCCTAAAGAAATCTGGAGATCTATGGCTGGATGCCTACCTCCATAAATGAACATGAATCTTAATGGGGAGGTGTGAGTGACAGGGAGGGATGGGGGTGTATGGGGGGGGAAATCACACACATGTCTTTTACTCTCAGATCTCAGTCTATAGCTACATGCACAGTTGGAGGGGAGTTTCCCATCTTGGCAGCTGCTACTGGGGATGGGCTCAGGCAACCAGTTTAATCCAGACAGATCTAAAATGTGCTTCAGAGGAGGAAATGTGATGCCAGTATTGCACAAAATGGAAGGTTGGGAGAGGAGGGAGAGAAGTGTTTAAAAAAGGGGCATTAATATCCAACCTTCACCTTCTGTTCATAAAATTCATTCTAATTCTACCTAAACCACACAAGCCCCTGATTCAGATGCTCTTGTGAGGGTTGTTAGGCTTCAGTGAGCATTTGCAATCCAAGGACACCCCAGTCAGCTTCTGCCTCTTTCCTCTTTCCCGCTTTTGTGTATAAGAATTGCTCAGCGGAGAGTTTCATTTTGTTATCAAGGATCCACGCTCACTGTCACAACAGAGAGCTCAGGTGGGCTGTGATGCCCATCAGCCCTGCTCAGAGCCCAGCTTCCTCCTTTCTCTCCCTCCTTCCTTTCTCTAATCACTTTAGGAAAAGCTGTGATACTGACCCTGCACAACTAACATCTAACCACCTCTCAGCAGGGTTAATATAGCTGTATTTTTACAACCAGTCCCTATTTCTAGGGGTCCACAGAAGATCTTGGGGCTTAAACGGCAAAATGTCTCTTTTAGGAGACGTTGTCTCTTTAATGAGCACCAGCTCTGGCATAGCATTATGGTTGTCAATAAATTATACAAAAGACCAACATAAGTCATAGAAGGAAAACTTACTAATTGCGGGTGATGGCTCCAGTGTAACCACAAATGGTCTTTTCACACCAGAGCAGTTCCGTGTGCTGCAGAACCCCATGGTTCCGCCTGCCTGCACATGCCTGGCACAGACCATGCCTATTCCTGCTCGTCAGAGGCCAGAAGCAGTGGCACTTGTTTACCCCTCTCTTGGGAACAATCAGCCAAGAAAAGGAGTTCTCCCTTCAAAGGGAGTTGCTGCCCAACCCTTTGACCTGGCCCTTCTGAAACCAGAGCTGACCAGGCTGTGCTGGTGGTATGAAACCTTCTGGAGAACCCTCTAACACGCTGCTTTCTGCCCAACCCCTAAGTACCAAAATCCAGTCATGGCTTATCAGGAGGTACGGTTTAACAGCTTCCAGGTGCTTCTCTAACAGGAAACTTGATCCCAAGTAAATCAAGGGCTTTAGACTCAGCTGTGATACAACAGAATACACATACCCATAGGCTCATGCTAAAGGACCATGGTTTCCAAAGCAGTCTCCAGTTCCAACAGCTGCCTCCTTGCTCACTCAAAACACACAATAGGGATACACAAGTTAGGAGTTTGCACGCCTCATTGCTTTGCTCGGCTCTGAAACTGGATCTTCTCCATCAAATCCTTGAATGCTAACAGAGTCCCACAGAATCAGCAAGATGCTTCTTGAAGAGAGACAGCTCCCAAGACTGGAGCCAGACAATCCAAACAATAAATGGATTCCCTCCCCACTCTCTTTGGAGGATAAGATAAAATGATATCTTTTCTTATAGATGGGAATTCATAGGCAGGACTGCACCTTCAGCTAACAAGTAATACGTAAGGTTTGTAAAGGGCTGATGTTCTCACCCACCCCTAAGCTGGCAATACCCGAAGGTCAGTAGGAATGCTTAGGATGAAAAGCTACTGCCCCTGGGGTGTCTGAAGCTCAAACAGCCTTTGAGCAAATTATACAATTGATTTCTAATATCATAAACAATAACATCCTTCTGGATGCTGTGATATCCCAGGCAGGTAGTAACAAGCTAGCCTGGAATTGTGGCTAACCTGAAGACTGCCTTAATACGTGCATCTCTGACTCCTTGAATGTATCTCCCTGTCTCTGCTCCAGCAAGGATGACCACAAGCACACAGTAACATCAGCATGCAATCTTTTAAATATTCAGCTTATTTTTCTGACAGTTCATACTTTTTTACCCCTACAGTTCTTATTTCTTAATACAGATGCCTCTTCCTCCTTACTGCTGTCCCCTCTTCTCTCTCTTACCTTTCTTCATGGGAAACTGCTTTTTATACCTAGAGAAACTGGTAGCTCAGCCTGCCTAGAGTCCTGCTTTAGCAGCTTGGCTTTGCTGCTTGCCACTGAGCAGCCTACTGTAAGGACTGGTTTTCTGAAATAAACCCAGAAGAACTCCCAACACAACAGCCTGGCCGAATGGAAGACATCAACTGCTACTGATGATGGCTGGAAGAACTTGAAACCTTCGAGGAGAGCAACCATGCTGCAAGGACCTGCAGAAGGAAAGACCAGCTCTTAAATGGGCATTTTTTCCCAAGACCTTAGCAGAAGGTTCCAAAGGGAAGAAAGGGGGGACAGGAAAGGTCTTGGTATCAACTTCCCCCCAGCTATTTGCTTCTTTCAGACTCTTGAAGAATTCCCTTTCCATGAAAAATGTTCAGTTGCTCAAATCCAGAAATAAAAGCTGTGCAATGTAATGGTCAGAACTGATTTCCAAGCGTCACACAGTGTCCTTGCTACTGCAAGGGAAAAAGGTCTGTTCTGCAAAGAACAGGTCACCAACCCTTTGTAGCTATCCCTGTCTTTTTCTTACTCATTGAACTTGTACGTGCAGAAAGTTTGCCTGGTGAAAATGGAAGATGCTGGTTACTTTTGCAAGCAAAGGCTCTCTGGTTCAGATAGTTTCTTCCTTTCCTCCAAAGACTCCCAGCCTCTATCTTGGAATTTGAGCTGTTTCATATGTGCCTTGATGTGCAAGTCTCCAACCTTCAACTGGAGCAGGTCCAACAGATCCCTGACAAAGAGCCCTGAAAGTCTGGAGCAATCTGCTTTGTTGTATTGAATTAGCACCAAGATGACATTAGGCTTACAGGAGAGGTTCCAGAAGTGTCAGTAAAACTGCAGACTTAGGTGGATATAAAGTTCCATGACCTTGCTTGGCTTTGTCTTCAATGTGGGCAGTATACAGCAATCCATCATGCATGAGGTTCCTTTACAGGTTACAGTTAGCCATCAAAATGGTTTAAACACAGCTATTTCAGTCCAGTTTTGCCCAGCTTTCTGAGGACCATAACTGACTCATTTCTCTGAAAATAACAAGGTGAAATCTTGTACCCTTTCTCTCTTGATAAAGGTCATTCATTTGCACTGTAATGAGACACAAACAACAAACTAGAAAGCTGGAAATCATGTTGGGAGCCTGCCAGGTTTTATTTAACCAAATCATTGGCTACAGGAGCACTTGGCAATGGAGAGAGGCCATGAGCTGGAAACACAGAGCTTGTTTCAGGGCAGATAATAAAACAATAGACAGGAAAGAACTGGCTTTGCTTCTCGTTAGTGGGGACTGGAGCAGAA